TCAAATATCACAGATATGTATATAGCAAGGGGCCGAAGGAGCTGTATTTTACACAAGAATCTCGAATAATCAAATACTTCCACATATAAACGTACACGGTGAGTGAGTGAGTGAGTGAACACCCAAATAGCCAGGTATTGCTTGCAATACAAATTCACATGTGATATGTTAGCAGTCTGTAAACAGCTGAACATTTCAGTTAGCCAATGAGACCTAGCTAAGAAGAGCTCAAGTTGTCTAGTTTGTATAATTTGTGCAAGGCCTTTTCCTTTCGTACATAGCTTTACTTTCTATCATCTTGAATTGCATACCTGTATCCTGAATTCAAAAGACACATACAGTATACAGTTTACAAATAAAGGCCATTAGCGTCCTATGAGAATCATTTTCTGCCAGTATCTCAAATGAGTTGTTGAGAATTTCAACATTCCCTAAACTCAAACTACAAACATCATGGACCAAGGAACAGTGTTCCCAGTGTTTTCAGGTTCAGAGCTTCATATTGATTCAAGTTAACTGGTGTTGACAGCAGCACCAAACTAATAATACTGACAGAACACAGCAAACAGAGTGAACTCTCAAATGCACTTGACCGGCTCCAAAACCATCTTGAAGCAATTGGGAAAATTCTTTCAATAAGGGCAAAGTTTGAATCTGCTTCGGGTAAGATCTCAACTTATCTAACCAAACAAGTCTGTTGCCAAGAGCTGCACTACTCACCTTGTGCACACACCGATTCTAAATAACCCACGTAATTATACGGGAGGGGGGTCATGCCTCGAGTTCGTGGCCAATTGGTAAACAACTGCGATGAGTGAAACGCAACATAAGTTATATAGAATGTGCACAAGTACTACTTCTTTTTGCCTGATTTTACGACATTAAATAATACAGAGTACCAACAAAATCTGAGGGACAGCGAAGTTCTCAATGTTTAGTATCATAGCAAGATCTTTGGTCTGAAAACACATCTGCTGAGGGATATTTCACGTCAATGAACTGGCTCTCTGCTGAATGAAGCCCAGCCATTTGCAATAAAAGGGGTAATGGCCAACGACTCTTGGAGTTGTACCAACATTCCACCTGTCACCTTGGGTTTGAAACGTTCCTCGCCTCCGAATATCAAGATTCTTCTGAGGAGGGCTATCTTGAGAAAACTGAAAAATCTTGCCATTCCTGGAAGGGGTGTCATCTTTTGTTGTTATCGTTATGACGAATGTTCTGTCTATTGTGTCCCCAAAGTGCTCAGGCTTTTCTAGTGTTATATTGCAAATGAATAATCAATATTATGGTCAGGTCTTCGATATGACATGCTGATTGCATTGAACACTTGACTGGCACTGTGGCCTTGGTTCAAGTACCTTGCAGCTCGTTATCACTACAATCTTATCATTGTTACACACATCCATGGAGTTCCACAGGAAAATATTTTTACATACAGCTCAACACAACTTTTCTCTGCAGCGCAAGAATGGGGAGTGTGTTCAGTCTTGAGGTTACTCAGTGCCAACACAGACTTTCCGTTAGTCCTCTTATTTTGAATAGCCACGAATTCCTGGACTAGAATCAGGCCAGTCGGGTGTTGTGAGCTATCTGGCAGTGTTTCTCTCTTTGTGGCCCTGAAATGCCAGGCTGACATCTAATCCTTCTGTAACACAAGCCATCAAGTCTTGTGATTACAACTATTGTCACAGGTGAGGTGGCAATCATGCCTTATTTGGGCATGGGGGAAAGATTGCACACAGGGCCTGTGACTCATGACTTTTACTTTGATCATGATTTCCTGTTTGATCTAACATTCTTACTCACACCGGCGTTATTCCTACCGGGGAGTTGGCAGACAGACTCAGATACAGGAACTCGCTGATCAAAAGTTTGTTTCCATACCGTTCCCTACAAGCTGGCAGTTTCACCAGTCCATTATGGTTGACTAAGAAATTTCAGTTCCATAGTTTCCATTCCTCTTTTCCAATCTTCCTTTTGTGGATTATCCTGCAATGAGGTAATCAAGATGCACGTATTTATATACAGAAAAAAAAATGGGATGGGATGGGAGAACAATTACCAAGCAGCTGTATGGTTGTATTTGAGAACTAATTCTGCTATTGTTCACAGTTCATCAGGGACAATTGCACCAGACAGGTTCTACTATCTGTATGTATCATCGTGCCCATTAATTTCCAATCTGGGCATTTATTCTTTGTGTCTTCTGTTCTTCAATGCGAACGGCCACACCCACATTGTTACCGGTTTACCGGGAAAATGCAATGCTACAAACATACCGACCAGTACTATATGCTAAATGCTGCTGCTGCAATACTGTGACAAATGCCCGAGGACAGAGACACTTTGCAAACCACACCAACCATTGCATGTTTGTCTTGTAGCAGAGAAAAGATACGACACTTGGAATGACTTGAAATGAAGAATTTCTCCACGGTTGTTATCTAACAAAAGGGGATGGTGCCAAACAATGCCAATAATCTGTAGACCCAGTAATTCAGGACCAACCAAGCCAGGTTATCTATTCTTATGTCTACACTGGACACTGGACATGCCCCACCCCTCCCACCATTACCAGGCCAGTGTGGAAGTGTCCAGGGGACCTGCTTCTAAGCCTGTAGTGTTAGTTCAGTCTCATGTTTCACTACAAGACTCTCCTGACCAAACTACATATCACAACATTAAACCACAGTTTAAACCCCAAAAGTGTACTCATGTGAAAACATGTGCAGTTCAAGTAGGATGTCTCCCCGGCACAATTAATATCGTACGAATGACAGAAATTTACAGCGGAACTGTTCTGCAAAGAAATTCCTGGCCAGTGTGCCCATTCTATCTCCCTTCCATGCTTCACCTAGCGTTACAGCTACCCCGAGCCAACACAGGAACACAGAGACGCTTTCATCCCACCCCCAAGCGCACCATTGGCCTGGTATCACATGCAAAATTACAAAAGGGGTCCAAAATAAGTCAATATTTACTATGCAGCACAGTAAGTACCCTCTCGTCAGAAAGTGAGTGCGTTTCTCATTGGCGCTATAGCGCCAGTTCCCTTCCCATGACTGGACGTTTTTCCCCATCCATACCCGTTTCCTTCTGTTGACAGGAATAAAAAGCTTACAACAAGTGACTTTGGGACGTACTTCAAGGTTAGCCTCTTAAGAATCACCTGTGCAGGTTTTGCCAAGCCTGCTCTTGACACCTGATATACCAATCACAAAGGTGTGTCCCACGCCAGACGCTAAACCCACTCAACACAACAGCAAACCAACGTAAAATACAGCGTGAGAGCTGACTTCTTGTATTTTATTTTATTTCCACCAGATTTACCACCACGAGGGGGAAAACAATAAAGTGAAACATTCAGCAGGAAATAGCAATGTTGACTGTGAATTCCTCCTCAAACAGAGACTGCTTTGTTGTTGTCAACAAAACGTAAAATTTCCCATCCTCTTTTCAATTTTACTGTTGGTTCCTTGTAATCAATAAAAAAGCCTGGACAGACAAGTATTCCCTCATGGGGCTAAAGTCACATTCCCAATGCGAAAACATTTCCTTTTTCCAAACAGAGCGGTTGCCCTCACTCAAGTCACTGGTTTCCGACTGATTTCCTTGGCAGCCAGTGTTCTGTTGGTGTGATTTAAATACTTAGGGGACACATGGGGTTGGAGTTGGTGCCCATTTATGGTCACGGGCAATTCAATACCACTTGCAGAGTTTCCTTACAAGGGCCATCCTCAAGCCGGAAGCCTCAAGACCAAGCTGAGGGCACATGCTGCCTTCCCAACCCCTCGATTGTGAGCAGATCCAAACATCTTTTCCAACACACTGGCCGGATTCCCAACAAGCCAGCGGTTCCTGCGCACGGCATCTCAAACATTCCACAGGAATGACACCACGTACTTAGTAAATATTCGGACATGGAACCTGCACCAAAATTTAAACATGCTTGGCTGGGAGAGTGGTGTGGGTCACGCCTCGAACGGGGTATAATTTCTTCGGGCAAACCATCAGACGTGCTTCTTGATTTGCCCATCTTGTTTAGGACAAACAATGGAATGGTATGAGCCTGATACCCGTCCATGATTAGGTGACCCAACTCAGCAGTGGTGTGCACCCAACTGGTGTAATATTGTACCCTGTTCTATTTTTAATTTGAAACCCAATCAAAAATATGTTGACATAGGCACTACTCTAAAACCCTGGTCGTAATAGTAAAACCAGCTCGTAGGAAACTCTGCCTATTCGTACCAATCTCAATAGGCAGAATTATACGAAGGGCACCATTTTCCTATGAACTCACATGGGGTCTGTCCATGGCTAATAAAAGAGCATATCTGAGAAGTTTTGTCCATATACGTTGCAAAAGGTTTGATCATGCTGAGCAAATGGTTTTTCTTCTCAAAAACTGGTCGTGTAGAACTAAATTAATTGCTTCAACACAACACAAAGGATGACCATCGTAAACGTCTTCTTTAATCTGTGTCCTTTGCAAAGAAATCCGGTCGGTTTTTCTGGTACATACTATGTTGATATACCGAGAAAGGGAGGCACATTTTCGGTCATACCAGTTGATGACGTCAGCTCGAGAGCACTCCAGATCGCCTGCTTTACCCCTTGTTGCTCATTTTCTTCACCTGAAATCCTGGCTATTGTATATTTGCGGGCACATACTGCACATATGAGGGGCGATTCAAGGCTCTATCAATGTTATGCACTTCCTAATTTGGAGCTGACCGTGCCGAATGTTTCTGGGAGCCAACTATGCGACTATTTTTAGTCACGCTACCCAACTTGTTTGACTTTCAGCCATGTTGGCCGCTTCGATTTTCAAATTCAAAAGTACTACAAAACCGTTGCACATACGGAACATTCTAGACGAATGCACACAATAAAATCGGGGCTATAAATCGTCGAAAAGGGCGCTAGATGTGGGCGTTTGCTCGCCTAAAGCTACGTTTTCTGCATACGGGCTCGGTTTGACCAGTAGTACCGACCTTCCTCTGTTGGCGCTCCCAGGCGGGGTCGAGCAATCCTTCCCGCTCCCACTCGTCCTCCTGTCCCATGTATTCCTGGTCGTATTCATACTCGTACTCCGCCATGGTGGACACTGGTTCCGTGTGGGTGCCAAAGTCACAGGGTCGGGGCAGCCCAGCGCGTACCGGCTCGGGACCAGGGTACGGCAGGCTCAGGCGTGGTGTTCGGCGGAAGAGACTCGGCGCGACTCGGTCCTGCTCTAGCGACGGGATGACCCCGCCAAGAAATAACACGCCCACGTGACCGCCCAGAGCCCACAGCCCGACTGGGGAGAATCGACGGGCTGATCAGCACCCCCGAACACTCGCATCAGCAGGAAGTTTAAACCACTGCGCCACCTGCAAGGGGAGGTTCACGGTCAAAATATAGTAACAAACACATAGATTTGTTTTTCATTCATGATCTGCGTACGGTTTGTCGTAATGCGATATTAAAAATAGTAAAGGTCGCATCGATGGCCTAAAAACGCGACAAACTTATTTTGTCAAATCAAATGTCAAATAAGCAATTTTTTCAGGATTTCTTCATTATTTATTGAAAATGAAGCGAATATAGACACTTTCATGATTTGTACGGTTTGCCGTAATGCGTTTTAACTAGTAAAGTTGCATCAATGGCCTAAATATGCGACAAACTTATTTTGTCAAATCAAGGAGGTTCAAAATGTCACTAAACAATATCTCAGGATTATTTATTGAAAATGAAGCGAATATAAACATTCCTATCCCGGGTGTTGATGGCCCTCGCCTACTTCTTTATTCATCATGAACTAAACACAATCTTTGGTGACACTTTAGTAGGCAAAGAGAAACACGGTCAAGGTTCATGATTTGTCAAGTTTGAACAATGCTCAGGTCAACGAGATTAGGTTGATGTGTGTTTATTGTGAAAAAGATTCGTTTACAAAACACGATGGATAGATCTAACTGCTCATGTATGCACATAAAGTCAAATTGTACCGTGTGACTAGACACACGTACTGATATGATGAATAAATATTATTAATAAGATCTTTTTATTTAGTTGAACTTAAAATTAAACTAATGACCGCGAACGCTATCTATGATTCGCTACAAGGCAAGCTTCTAAAAGCGTATCCGATGTTACTATAAACGTCCCGATGTTTCAAAGCGACAGCCCTGCCCAGACGCTACCTAAACTGACTCAATAGCCATTCGGAATGTTCATGCCATGACCGGTAACATAATATTTTCTGTACCGTTCGATAATGTCAGCATTTCCAGATTGAAACAACGGAGTTATATATATAGCTGTAGCAAGCTCGACCGGGAAGAAAATGTACATTTTTTTCAGATTTTCCTACATATATTATTAACAAGTTTGACTCATTCAGACTATTGAAGCTGCAATTTTATCGCTTGAAGTTGAACTTGAGAAGGTTGTGACGTCACGCGAAAACACCCGATGCCAATGTTACGAGCTCGTATATAGTTACGTTTACTGTTACGTGCGAGCGTTTTGACAACTTGGAAGTACAAAAGCCAGATCTGATGTTGGGCGTACATGAGTGGTTTCAAAGTTCACACTAATATAGTACATGTATCACAAATAACGAATGATGTCCGACAATTTGTTTATCATCTTTCGAGAGTATGGAGACAGGAAACCCAAGTACGTACACTAGTGTGGGGTCAAGGTGGTTTGGTTGGGCTCGAGAGGTTACTACCGGCATTGAAATCTGGGGGTCGGGCCAGTTTCTAACTCACAAGGTTAGCGCTCGAAATGAGATTTGAGATAGGAGTAACCAAGGAGGTTAAAAATCAGGGACAACGGTCCCTTCGGTGTAGTTGCCGCCGCGCCGCGTGCCTGCAAAGCTATTGTGTTACGTCGAAGGGTGATAAAATCGGCTGCACCAATACAGATACAGAAATTGTAATACATGGTCATGTTGTATATATATCTGGCCCGAGTTTGGCTATGTGAACAGTTCATCACCTTTGGCTTTACAGAGCATGAGAAGCAACATACACATAACGTTCATCGAATTACAGCCTATACTCTTCTATACCTGATCCTCCTCCGTCCAATTGGCCAACAGGACGATAATAGGACTATCATAGTACAGTCCTACTAGTACAGTTGGGCCCGTTTATTTCTGCTAAACTCACACCAGCAACCAGCATACAATAGCTCTTTGCCATATAGACGACAGACTACCAATTGCTGATCTCCGATGTAAATAAAGTTGATTTATTGGGTCAATCGTGAACTTTACTGAGCCGGGACAGATGTGATACAATCGATTATTCTCACACAGTAAAACATGCAACTCGATCCCAGGTAAACTATAGACCCTGTTCATACCAGACTTATATTTAGCGGTTTCAACCGGTTTTTCAGAAAACGGTTTTTATTTAAGCTGGTGTGAACGCAAATTAACCGTTTTTTTAGGGGTTTAAATCCGATTTTCAAAAACCACCTCGGGAGAAAAGTTTCTGGTAAAGTTGTGACAACACGGGCTCGCCGTGAGTTCGAGTCTTCGAATTCACGGTGTGTAGTTCCCAGAAACTAGAAGAGACCGACAACCTGAAGTATTAATGTATTAACGTTCATACCAGACCATTCCAACACAAGGCCCCGCTTTCTAAATTTGTTGTCGGGTCCCGAAATAGTCCGACACAGTACAGAATTTGATAAGGACTGCACCCTCGCGCTTATTATAGTTGGTGCATTTTCCGTGTGTCGGGCGGGTGACTCGACTTGGGTTTCAAGTGCAAGTCGCCTGGTCCAGCAATTACATGATGATCTCCTCAACAAAATAATAATAGATCCTGATTCGCAGCCAGAGCGGTGGCGAAATAGGTGCCAACTTTGCGATGGGATACAGGAAAATCAATCGCCAATAGCAGCAGTGTACATCAGTGTAGATAATTATATATTATTTAGCATGATCCTTGAGTAGTTGGGTGGGGCGCACACGCCCATACATGTTCCAACCTTTCCCACCAAGGTCGCGACAACGTAGCTCGGTCTGAATTCCCGGGCCGGCTGTTTTTGGTTAGGCCTGTAGGCGGTCGTTGCCCCTGTCGAGGTTTCGATCGAGAAGACCAGGATAGAGGCTCAGGCGTGTGCTTTGAGAGGTGCGAACTAAATGCCTTCGGCCTTCTTTCAATTAAGTTCTGTTATGTGTATTTATGTGAAGTCAGGTAACACTAGTACATGTAGTAATTTTGGCGTGGTATTACTATTGCAGAAGATGTGACTGAGGGTGGTAACTTGGTGCCTCCTAGCGACGTTGGCAAAATCTGCATACCAGTACGTTTGTATTTGGAACACTACGTGTAGTTGAATTTACTAACTATACTATGTGGAATCACTGGTATGAAATGTACTTTTTTAACACACCCTCATCATGTTTAATTAGGGTATGACACAATCTGTGAAATGAATACATTAGAAGAAACAAGCCGTCCTGGAGCCAGTGAAATGTAAACATCATAAACTCGAAAGATTCCCATGCTGCATACATACTTGATAAACTGTGAGTGCATACATTGTATGATCAAATATGGCAAAAATTAATATCTAAACAGATAAGGATCAGGTTTGTATGTGTATCATTAGGTCTATTGTAACAAACTTTAGAGGTATTACATGTCCTTGGTGCTGAAGTTTCCATTGTGCCAATCTGTAAATTCTTGATCATATATCCAAGCAGATCCTATGGTGGCAAGGCAGTAAGCATTGGCTAAGTAGTGCCGCCTTGCTTAGCTTATGTTATTTACAGAAGAAGGAAGAAAGTTTTGACAACACAACTCTGCAGTAGGTGTCCATAAAATCACAACACAAAAACTAAAAAGAAACATCTCCATGAACGTTTGGAAAAGCTTTATTTTTTAAGCAATATTTTTGTGTTGCACTATGTACATCATCTGAGACCCACCGGTAAACTTTACAGAGCAAAAGTGCCATTCTATCTTACATCGTAACACTTTAAAACATTCAGTTAACTCTATACAATCATGTCCTAAACATATACATTTCATCCTTTTTTTTATTTGTGAAATAAATCAGGAAGACCAAGTGATACATAAAGAGAGTTGTGCATGTAGAATTTTTTTAAATTGTAATATCATATATATTTAAACACCAGTTGTCGTTCTTTGGAGGAAGTGCAATCTGTGCAGCAATTTAAAAGTAGTCCGATAGTCGACCATCTGTGCGGATCTTCTGTTCCAGAGCCATGTACTTGTGGGGCGCCATCTCCTTGTGTCTGCAGCAAAATCAGACACAAAATCACTTTTACCAGTCAAGTAAACATCGCCATAGGCTAGATGTATAGTGACCTATGTTGCATATTATCCATCCACAGGACAATCTAAGGGTTCTGCAAAGATATATACATGTATATACAAACTGTATGTGATTTCTAATCATGCTGCAAATCATTCTGAACACCTACATGTATGGTAGATCTTACCAAGGTCCTTGATCTTACCTAAAAGTTGATCTGTGTTGGTAGAAGTCATTATGAAGCAAGTTTGTATCGGTTATTTTCAACACAAGAAATTGGACTTACTCAAATTTTGAACTGTACTCCACTCTAGTCTTTGTCAAGGAATAGCAAAGACTGGACTTGTACAGTCAAAAATTTGGGGAAGCATAATTTGCTGTGTTGGAAATAACAATGTAAACTTGCTTCATAATGAAATCGGACTCAAATTTTTGACTGGACAAAGACTGCAGTGGAGTAGTCAACAATCTCAATTCAGTCCAATTTCTTGTTTTGGAAATTATGGGTTTATTAGTTTATTTTCACAAAGTGAAAGGGAGGGCAAAACAGGTGCATACACACCTTTACAAGTTGCCCCCCCCCCATCCAAAAACACATATACAACATCAAAATTTACTCTGATACGGTCTAAGCTGCGTAACGTGCGGGTAGATAGCCTTACCTGTTGAGCCTGAGCTCCAGTATGTGGATCCTAAACATGGCTTCTGAGCAGTAGGCCAGATACTCCTCCTCATCCTCCTTTGTCATGGACACCTGGTTCTGCTGGTACCACTGCTGCCGCTTCTGCAGTTCCTGCGTCTCCTGCAAGGGGGTGTGCACGACACAAGGTCAGGGCAGCCATCAAATGTGGTGTGACAAGTTTGAGCTCGTTCATACCAGGCTTCACATATCTGGGTATGCTTAGCCTAGGTATCAACCAAACTATCCATCCTGCTCAGAAAGGGATTTAGCCAGATCTTGCCTATCCAGATCACGAAGTGGAGGTGGCAGGATTTTTTGCATCCACACCAGGTTTAACAAAAGTAAAACCTCGTATAAACTGGGTCTTTCAATATTGCAGCAAAATCAGGGCATGATTTTGACAGGAAGCAATGTCAGTCACTGACGAAAACTAGTGGATGCTACTTGAAACACCAGGCATCTTCCAAAAATCAATCCAGTTGCTTGAGTAACAATTTCCTTGTGTATCTCGTTATGAGTGAGTGAGTATCTGTATCTGTATCTGTATCGATATAGCCTGTATAACCACCCTTCGGTGTAACACACCAGCTTCGCAGGCACGCGGCGCGGCGGCAGCTAGCTATATCACACCGAATGACTTGTTACACTAAATATTTGCACATTTAATTGCAGGAGTTGTTTAAAGCTGAGCGAGTAAAGATCTTGTACGTACCTTCTCAAACCTGCTCTGGATGAGGTTAGCCTTGTCGATGAGCCTCTGTTTGAGGTCGGCCAGGCAGTCCTCCTTCAGCTTGAAGGCCTGCTGCCGGGCGATCTTGTCGGGGTCGCCCATCTGCGCCAGGAAGGGCGCCAGGTAGTCCAGCTCCTGCTCCTGCCGGCGCAGCTTCTCCTCAAGCTGCTGACGCTCCTGGGAACGGAACACGGGGGACGGTTAAATGTCTTGGATGTGGCAAGCGAAAGTTCTCCTATAGAGGCCCTATCCTCTGGAACAGGTTGCCACATGATATAAAAGACCTGCCTGTCCATGTCCACTTTTAAAATGAGATGTAAGAATTGGCCTGACCTCTGACCCCTCTATACAAACAATCTGGACTGGACAATGACTGGACTGGACAATTTCTACTTTTTGTTATCATTTATTAATGTTAGTGGTTACTTACTGTTTTTCCGTTATTATTATTGCCATTATCATTGTTTATTGTATCCCTATGTTACTGTTTGTATGTGACTGTTATGTTTTGTTTGTAAAACAGGGCCCCATTGAAAAGAAGTGTAATCACTTAATGGGCCACCCTGTATAAAGATGACGGAAAATAAAATAAAATAAATGTCGACAAAGGCTAGACATCCAGGTATTGAGATACACAAAAAATGTCAGTCGTGCCAAGTAGCACCCACTGTTTTTTTTTTCAGTGATTGTAGAAAGGTACTGGATGCTACTCGAAAGGTCTGGCAGTTTTTGAAGTCTATCTAAGTTGCTTGAGTAACAAGTTTGTCATACAAGGATGCTTGTGATTCATATCACACAAAATATTAAAGATCAGGCAAATATACAAAATAGTTTAGTCTCTTGTGACACTAACACAATTTCTCTTCACTGGAAAAAAAAGAAAATGAAACATAAAAAAAAAACTTTAGGCAATTTATCAACTCCACTAGTTTGCTATGCTTTGAAATTAAAGAAGGACATCACAGGAGACTATGACCTGAGCGGTAACAGTATCTTACCAGTTCCTTCCTGTGCTGCTTGGCTTTCTCGTTCCTCTCTGTGTCGTATACTGAGATGGAGAGCTCAGACACGGTTTCCTCACGGATACGCTCCAGCAGGCACTCCTTTATCTGCAGAAAGCCAGTCCACATGTCAGTACAGTCCACTTGTTAATACAAGTTTGCATTGTAAACTGTACATATTTACCTTATTATTTTGTAAACTCCATATACCATTTGTACAAGTTTTCGTTATTGGTGCTTCATTTTGATATGTTGACCCCAGGAAGAATAGTGCTTAAGCACTAATGGGGATTGTTATAAAAGCAAACAAACAAACAAACAAACAGAATGATACAAGAAAGTCAACAGAACGTACTGCTTCTGTGCGGAACACAAATTTTTCAAGGTTTTCAATGGATGGATGTTTGGGCAATGTTGCATCAGGATCTTGCCTGTTGCAGATGGTATATTTTCCGACAAAACATTTGAAAACTATAGACAGGATGTCATCCTTAAATACTCAAACAGGACCTTCAATGAGACATTGTGCTGAAGCGCTGTGGAAAATGAATAACAGGTTTTGCCATATGTTCTGCCAACGTGCTATCACACACTCAAGTCAGTCAGAAAATCAGTGCAATCTCACCTCCTCCTCTGACGCCCTGATGGCCTGTACAGACTGGTCCTCTGCCTCCACCAGAGACACCAGCATGTTGTAGATGTACAGGTTCTTCGGAGACTTCTTCGTCGTGTCCACCTGCAGGGGTAGAAATAATACTTTTTATTCAGTGTTCTGTAAGGGGGCCCGCATGCCCTTTTCCGTAGAGCGTAATCAGCCATTTTAATTCTATGTAGAGCGTAGACGGACCGCCAATTCAACGTAGAGCGTAATTCGCCAATTTAATTCTACGTAATGCGTTGTGACCACTTGGAATTTATCGTAAAGCGTAATCGAGAAGTTTCCGAATTCAGCGTAGAGCGTTGTCGTGACCCCCCCTTGCAGGCTCCCCTGTAATACTGTAGTAAGAATGTCAAAATCTTTTTCTGCAGTTTTTCTGCAAATACTCTACTAGCAATTATCCAAATTAGCAGTCTGGACATAAACCCATGGTGTAGGCAAAACTGCATGTTGGCAAACGTTTTACATGCAATTTGAAAAATATATGCAAAATTACTAGTACATGTAGTCAATAGTGAGCACAAAAGCTTTCCAATAATATTATGTTAACACCATAGAACCCTAGCTTGAACCCCTAGCCTGCAAAATTGCAGGTTGCTTAATTTCTCTTCTGCAATATTAAAAATGTCTCTGCAAAATGCAGACTGCAGATGGGTATTTCTGTCTTTTTTCTATTTATTCAAGAAAAGAAAAGAACATGAAATGTGGAACCATCCAACCTAGTGACATATTATTACACCAAATAACACAAATGTACATAATGTAAGTAATATGACTTCATGATATACAAGTTATATGATTTAGTAATTCTGTATGACAACATATAAATGTATATATTAAATATAAATATTGTATGACAAATTATAAGGTGGGTATGTCTAACCCTGACCTGGAATGTGGAGGTCATGTCGGGGGTCATGGTGATGACCTGGCTCTTGTCGTTGGCGTTGGGCGGTTTGATGAACTCTCGTGTAGAGGCCGTGACCCGGTTGTCCTCGCAGTGGAAGGTCAGCTGGATGCGGTCCTCCGCGATGTGGAACACGCACTCCGACACATCCTCGCTCGCTGGCTTCTCCCTGTTCCTGTGGAACCTCTCCGTGATTTTCTGTGAATGATGATGATGATGAATGGTTTATTAAAATGCAAATCACTTGCAGCCCGCGGGCTGAATTGCGGATTCGTTACAAACATTTACAGAGCTCGTATCAAGATAAAACATAGGGTCAATTATTATATATAAGTATAACAAATAACGTTGGTGTATAATAGAATTTAACATTTGTACCATAATACGAGTATAAAACGGAATTAAAAGCTTAATAATACAACAATACGGAAATCCTTAAAAACATTAACTATTTGATTAAGCACTTAAAAGGCGAACAATGTACGCTATGGGGGAGTTCCTGAGTCGATCAGTCCTGCATTTGATTGGTCTATATTTGTCTCTGTTTCTGGTGGTTCTGTCGTGGTAGTCCGAACCCTTTAGTGGCGGCATTGACGGTGTGTGGGTTTCTAAATGAGTCCCGAACTTAAGACACAGTGAAGTAGAGAAACACAATTGCAATGTACCAGGAACTTGCAGGAACTTTGTGGCATGTAATGGAAAACTTTCCAACCAATCTGTCAAAACTGACAAAAAGCTTTGGTAAGAATTTAAAAAAAAAATCCATTATCCACTCACAACTCTATGATTTCTCTCTCCAAATGTGAGAGGTTGTGTTTTAGAAGGCATCAAAATCCTACATTTGCCCATGGATCTGACGAAAAAAATTCTTGAGTGGGCTAGAGCCCTGCAATGTACTTGAAGATTGGAAAGACACAAGCTCACGTACCAAGCCTAAATATGACCATCATGTTGTTGATGTTGATCTCTTTTTTTAGTATCTCTACTTTGGAAATAAAAACAACAGCTGCCCACATACCAAGCCATTCCTTTTCTTTAGTAGCTCTACTGCAATAAGAAATATTACTTTCTTATCTGCTAGAAAGAATTTATCTGCCTAGTTTTTTACTACCTCTTCAGTTGTAGAAAAACATTACTTTGATATCTTCTAGAAAGAATTTAATATGTCTTTATCTAGCTTTTTTGAGCAGCTCTAGTAAAAGCTAAGTAAAAACATCACTTCATCAGCTGGTGTGTTACGCCGAAGGGCGGTTATACCGGCTATACCGATACAGATACAGACTTCGATGTCTAAAAGCGAGCATTTAGGCAGCTCACCAAAATAGGTCTGTGGTTTGCGTCTGTGGAGGCCCCAAACTTCTTCATCCGCTTGCTGAAGAGGACGTGTCTGTAGTACAGGAAGTCGTCCCTGTCCTTAAAGTGTTCCGTCATCTCCGTGGGCGTCTCCTCCCTCTTCACCAGCCCGTCCACCCGAGCCTTGTCGTAGAACACCATGGTACGGTCCGTTTCCGGGCCGGGGCTGCCAGACTTGTAGGTGTGCTCTGTACCAGGGATAGACAGGGACAGAGGGGTGTTACTGAGATTGTCCTGCTAGTGCTATAAACTGTTACATCATAGAATAACACAATATTAGAATTTGGGAAGTCTTTTTAACTGTACCAGGGACAGACAGGGACAAAGGGTTGTTAATGAGATTGTCCTGCTAGTGCTATAAGCTGTTACATCATAGAATAACACAATATTAGAATTTGGGAAGTCTTTTTAACTGTTTTGGGATTGGGCTGCCTGACTTGTAGGTGTGCTCTGTACCAGGGACAGACAGGGACAAACGGGTATTAATGAGATTGTCCTGCTAGTGCTATAAGCTGGTACATAAAAGGACATAGAATAACATACAATTAGAATCCAGGATGTCTAACTATTTGGGGACGTGGGCTGCCGGACTTGTACGTGTGCTCTGCACCAGGGACAAACAGGGTTGTTGAACGAAATAGTCCTACTGCTAAGCTGATGTGTTAAGTCAAAAAGCATAGAAAAACACAAATTAGAATTTGGGCAGTCTTTTTAACTACATTGTATTTGGGACCCAGACTATAGGACTTGTAGTAGGTGAGCTCTGTACTGGGAACAAATATAGAAACAACAGGTTGTTGACACGGAATGAAACAGCTGTACTTCTAAGCTGCTATGTTCAGTAAATCTCAACTAGAAGGATGTAGAGAGACTGGCCTTTTACCAAACTTGCTAGAATGCTCTGTCTGCCTCATGTGTCAGGCCTGAGCCCCTAGGTGTAAGTAAGCTGATTTGTTACACCAAAGAGCATAGAATAACAGAAAATTAGAAATTCTGAAGTCTTTTAACTGTTTGGGGATGAATGTGTTGTGTTTCAGACGAACCTTTCATAGCACGTCGGCAGAACGTACTGCGCCTGCGCAGAACCCTGGATTTTCGCGGTTTTCGTTGGATGTTTGGTCACTGTTGCATCAGAATTTTGCCTGTTGTAGAGGATATTTTTTCCAACACAACATTTGGGAACTACAGGCGGGATGTTAACCTTATATGTACGAATACGACCTTATATGAGACGTTCTGCCGAGGTGCTATGTACAATACATTACGGGTTTCACACAGGTGCAGTGCGTTCTGCCGACGTGTTACCTTTCATGCAGTCGAGCCTTCCCTGCAGCATGTACTCTGTGATCAGCCCCGTGCGGTGGTTGTGGACTCTCAGCTCCAGTTTGTCCTGTCTGTTCACAAACCACTCCTTCGCAGACACAAGGTTCTTCACTGGTGGAAAAGAAAAAATATTCAGTACAGGTTCATGGCCAAAATGGGCAGAGAGATGTATTGAAAATTCAAGGAAGACATCTAAAAACTAGAAAGGTAACAGTTCCAAAACAAGTCCATAATGTTTGCCTTCACAGTCATGGTCTAGCCTAACAAACTACTGATCTGTTTATTCTTACTACACTGTAACACATTCATATATATGGTGACCAGCCCCTCCAACTCTGTCCTGCCCCTTGCTACATAATGTAACCCAACACCATAGGGTGTCTGCTACAGCACCAGTTACTATGGTGACAGATGTCTGATCCAGGTCATTGACCTTTTCCGTTTAAAGAAGAAAAAACAGAGCAAAAACAAAATGTTTTCCTTCTGCAAAGATAAACAGAAATTGCCTTTTGCAAGGGATGTCTTCAGTTTGTATCATGAGGCAACTTTGCTTCTTACTTACATTCGTAGTCGTCATAGGCAGACAGCTTGGTGATCATGCCGTCCTTCAGCAGGTAGCGAGCAAACTTCTCCAGCCGAGCTTTCTTGTACAGGATAGTCTTCTTGCCAAGTGGACATCGCGTCTCGTACTCTAAAGACAAGTAGCAAAACATTTATTACAAGATTGTAGATCGGTACTTCTGTGGGCGACACCCAGCAATGTTCCTCATACTAAATATTGCTTTTATCTGTTTTGCCATTTTAATGATTTTAGATATTTTAAGCGAATTAATATTGCCTGCCAATTTGTACACGAGTCTGTCAATTCAGCCTGTTGGCTGCAATGTGACTTGTCTTTGATTTTAATAATAAACCAGTCTAAAGATTATACTGTCTTCTGAATTACATTTTAAAACAAAACTAATAGTGTGAAAAAGCAATGACTTTAAAGCTGAGTTATGAAATACATAAAAAGCGCTTATGGAGATATGTACAGCATGGTGTAGCCCATCATAACATTCAGATGCAGCTCAAGTACAAAGTGCATGTATTCACCTTTTGGTGTGACCAGGATGGGGTGAACCCAGGATGGTGGCATTTCCAGGTGTTTCTCGTCTTCTTGTTCCTCCTGCAAAAGTCAAAAGAAATTATTAGTGACATCAGATTGTAATAAAGATTCCTCCATCCTCTTACACTATGTTGTACTCATAGTTCTGATGCATGTTCAGAAGAACTGTTTTACAAAGGATGTATTTGCCTCTTCTGCAAGAAACTGTTAATCAAGCAACTGGATTGATTTTGAAAACTATCAGATATTTCAAGAACCATCCACTACGTTTCGTCGGTGACTATGCAGTTGCTTGAGTAACAGTTTTCTTGTGTATGTGCATGTCCTGGATGTCTAACCTTGGGAGACAGAGAACAACTGACGGTAAACTGGATAGTGAGTGAGTGAGTGCACTGTACGTTCTTACCTCATCGTCATCCAGGCCCTCGTATAGCTCTGCCTCCACATCAGGGATCTCCAGACTGGGTTTCTCTGAGCTGTGCAGCAGGTACTCCCACTTCGCCGAGTCTCCCAGGTCAAAACTCAGGTCCTACAATACAGAGAGAGGTGCAATCTTTTAGGCATTGTACTTGCTCACAGGATGGCACATAGGACTTTTTGAATAGACGACTCAATAGATGACTCGTCTAGTGTTTTGTCTACAAGTCCAGTATGATGATAAAAAGGTAGGAAAGCACTGCATAAATGGGGAGAAAGAGCACTAGGACTTTTACAGTCAAACATTTGAGGAACCTACGGGAGCTTATGAAGCTAGGGAAGAACAGGTCACAGTGGAGAGGGTTGAAGAAAGACTGACTGCAGCTGCAGGGTGTCCAGACCACTGCAGCAGCAGCCGAACACAGTGGATGATGATATGCCAGAGTGAAGAAACTCAGGGAGAGTAGAAACACGAAGTCCCCTGGCTCCCGGGAATCAAGCCCGAGCCATCAGCTCACAAACCCAACACCCTACATGAACTCAGAAATGCAAAATAAGAATGCAAATATTTGACGGACCAAAGGTCCAGACCTGTTAGATAGGTTAGTTGATGGTGCTTGAACCATGGTGCTTGAACCACAACTGTTACAAAAGAACTATTGAGACTGTACCCTACCTTACAGCCGTTGGAGCAGTCTTGCATGTTGACCCAGTAGTTCTGGTGGTTCCAGACGGACTCGATGCCCAGGAACTTGTCGTCCTCGGTGGGGTACGTGTTGCCGGTGAGCGGCTCGATGAAGAAGCTGTCTGGGACCTCCCGCTTGCCTGACAACACCAGCACCCAGCAGTGGATCCGCAGGCCGTGCAGGGCATCAGGCTTTGGCTTCTCCAGCTCCTGCAAGACAAGGTGTACACAGTCAGGCTTTAGTGTGCTTTTAAGTTTTATGTGTATGTTTTTTGTTCAGTAGACTAATCTACAGTAACATATAATCACTACTAGAGACATACAGAGTAGGCCTTAACTGACAATACAGATCTTTGTAGATGACATTCATATACCAGTCCCATAGCCCAGCCCATCTCTGTCAAAACTTAGAATGGCAAAATAAAACATAAATATGCAAATATTTGACCAATATGCAGCCACTCTCTCATTGGTCGAACCACTCATGGTCATGCTATCATTGGTTGAACTGCTGTGATATGGAGTCAGGATTGGTCAGTTACATATCTTCTTCAAAAGCTAGAAACCCATACTACAATGTACTTGTATCACTAATAATGAGCACCCAGCATGCAGAGTAGACACTGCCATCATGTAATCAGGCAATGTTTCATGGTGATAGAATTGCACAGCCAGCGTAATTCTTGTGAATTGCACCGACTGCCTCGTACGCAGAGGGCTGCAGAATGAGGTCTGACCGAGCAGCGACAGTCATTTTTCTTTCTTATTCGTTTTCTGCTCCAGCCGCAAATGCCCTCAGGCACTGGCAAGCGCATAACATGAAAGCCTTTTAGGTTCCAGGATGGTGATCTCATGGGGGAGGACTCCACAACCGCACGAATCGACAAGTTAACGTTTCAAGAGAAACTCACACTGATGCGAGCCTCCTCCTCCCTCCTCCTCTCCGCTGCCTTAGCCTCCTCTTCAGCCTCCCTCCTGGCCTGCATCTTCAGGTCAAACTTACTGCGCAGGTCCTTGGGAGGCTTGACTTGGTACTTCCGCACCTCCTTCTTCTTCTCTTCAGACTTCAGCTGTTACAGACACAAATATACAGCGTGGATACAAATGGTCATGACTCACAGCTGTTGACGTATACTAGTGGGCTTAGAAGTGTAAGGGATGACAAGACATTTGAGAATGAAAAAGTTGAAACAAATTACTCCTAATCCTATTGAAAATATCTTTCTCTGCCCCAAGGATTTCTTATATACTCTCTTGCCAAGATGTGCTAAACCAGGCAACAGGGATCAGGATAGACCTTAGATAGAGTGTATCAAGAAGGACATGAGAGAGTGCAGCCTTGCTGGTATGGACCTGCTGGACAGAGTTGATTTGAAACTTGGTGTGAAGACTAGCCGACTGCTGCCCACCCGTGTCAGGGACCCCCGCTACAGTATAAACTATGAATTATATAATGTAAGACTAGGTACTACTAACACAACTACTACTAAAAGTCCTACCTCTCCTTTCTTCTTCATGAGTGGGCAGACATCCCTGGTCTGGTCCATCAGGCAGATTTCCCGGGTGGCATACCCGCTAACGCAGTACGCATCGTACCCAGCTCCCAGCAGCATGGAGCACAGCAGTGTCGCAAAGTCAAAACTGTTGCCCTTCTGTCTCTTCAGGGCTGTGGTCGGCGACACCAGCTGGTTTGGCTGTGAACACAACAGAGCAGACAGGTCAGCATGAAAGTTCATCTGATTTGGTGAATTACATTATGAAAAACTTAAACTGTTCTCCAACTCAGAAATTTTGACTCACCAGAAATTTTCGACTGAATCACTCAGTCTTCCTCTGCTATCTGACCCAAATGCTGTGGACACGTGATTTTTCCCACGTGTGACGTCAGCAAAGGGTCAAAGGTTGTCTACCGGGACGGGGGTCGATATCGACTTCAGAAAACCTTTGACCCTTTGCTGATGTCACACGTGGGAAAAATCACATGTCCACAGCATTTGGGTCAGATAGCTGAGGAAGACTGAGTGATTCAGTCGAAAATTTCTGGTGAGTCAAAAAAAAAATTTTGAGTTGGAGAACAGTTTAATTTTTTCATAATCATAGAGCAGACAGGTGTTAGTAACACGGCATTCTCACACCAGATGCCAGGGAATAAAGGTGGCTAACAGATCTTTGCTACACACATGTACTCGTAAAAAAACTGCTATAAGTCACTCAGGAAGGAAAGCACTGCAAAATATGACATTTCTAATCAGACTTCAGGCACTTTTCTATCTCTACTGTATAATATATTTAATTCTCATTACCCATGAGGGTACCTATTGTCTACAAGGTGAGATTAATAACAAAAGTGCGTGATTATTCTAGGTAGCAAAATGGGGATGGTCCCAAGAGGTTGAAACTGTAGGCTTTCTACTGAAAAGAGAGTTCAAATCAGATTTGTGAACGTTACAATATCTGGCACAGTTACACTTCTGTAGAAGACGCCCTACCAGGTCCACTGGTGGGTCCAGGGCCTGGAACTCCAGATAGTCGGCCACAAACTCAGCACAGTTCTCATAGCTGTACAGCTCCTGGAAGGGCAGCAGGGTGGGCCGGATTGTGGTGCTCACAAATTTCTGCAGGAGAACAGGAAGAGAGGCAAATACATCTAAACACTCCCAAAGAAATTTGCTAATTTGAAGACAAGTACAGAAAATCAAACACCAATAAGTGTCAAACAAGGGCCCACTTTACCAACACTACTGATAAAACGTTATACAATTTAAAAAAAAACTGTATGACACTTCAAAATATTTATTATTTCACTCCATACTTCAGTATGGAGTGAAATACTGCTTTTTCTGATGTTTCTTCTCCTCCTTCTTCTTCTTCTCCTGCCACTTCTTTAAATTGATTCAACTCCTTCATTTTTGGGCAAAATTACCTGTAATTTCGTATAGAGGTAGAGTGGGTAAATACCCTTAGGCGTTTTTTAAATTTTTTTGATACAAGCTTTTACAATCGTTTTATTTGCTTTTTAGTGGTCCCCATAGGAAAGTACTGTGGGGGCGTACGCGCGTGACGTAATAAGAAAGGAATTCGGGGGAAGGCCCAAATATGGGCATACAAGCAGGTGTGGTCATGTTTGCAGATGTGGCTGTTGATTGGCTGTTGGCTAATTAATTTATTTACTACCATTTTCACGTACCAGCGCAGCTGGTCCACGCGGTCTCGGCCGTGGGCCATGATACTCTGATATTGGATACCGATTCGTGTGATTCCTATAAACATTTCACCTAACTACGAACTAGTTGGAAGAATTATAGCTGCATGGATGCCTGTATATGATTTTAACAAACACTGAAAATCTGACGCAAAAACTGGCAGATATTTTGCTCTTCTCTGTTGGAACAACGCAAGCGGGAGGTCAATGACCTGCGCCCCGCGAGTACTGTAAACAACGGTACGTAATGTGTATCGTCGGCGCACGCGCGCGCGCCACGGTATCAACAATTTTCCACAATCTTCACCGACTAGTATTATATATTCTGTTATCGATTTCTGAAGAATCACCAAAATTGTAGAGTGTACAGGCGTTCATTTGTTGTTGCTGAGAACATCGCAAGACGGCTTCCTGGCAAATTTTCCTAAAGCGAGCGTTGAGGGCTTGCATGCCCGACAGTTTTCAAAGATTGGACAGGGAGCCGGCGGCTTCTGCTAGCCGGATTGATAGTTACGTTACATCAAGGTACCGGTGGTCAAAAGCGAACCTGATAAAGAAGGAAATCTCCTAGAAAGTCCCTTACTAGTACTTGAAGCGATCGTTACCGCCATGTTGTTCACTTTATATGACATACAATGCAGAGAGTAATGGAAACGCGTCCAGATAGCTCGGTTGGTAACGCGCAGGGCTGCAAGTCCGGACATTGCGAGTTCGAACCCTGGTACACTGGATATTTTTAATTACCCTTTTTACAATTTTTAACAATTTAAACATTTTTAACAATTTCAACAATTTTAACCATTTTACATTTTAACAATTTCAACATTTAATTTTAACATTTTCGTTTTAATATCCATTGCTTTGCTTTTAACATTCCAAAACTGATTGTTCTTACTCAAGAATTTCAATAACTTCGAATGTTAGTCTTTTGTATTTTTTCAACATACAAACCAAAATCACTTTGATGTTGTCACAAAAGTAACATCTGTGCGCGCATCGGTTTTCGTTCATTTAAAAACTACAAGTACAAAACATCTGGAAACTAAGCAAACATACTCAGTAAATTGATTGCTGTAATTCCCGTTTTTTTTCACTGTACCGCAATGCAAGCGGGGGGTCAATGTTCACGGTTTTCACTGTCACCTCTGTATTGTGAACTTAATTCCTGGACTTTCTTTTTCCTGCAACTGTCACCACCGTGAATATATAGTTCCGTGAACATGTCCATTTTTCTCAGGCCGTGAAAATTTTGCTTCCGTTAGTAGTAGTTACAATCTCGTCAAAAGTGTAAAGTGAAGCTGTCGAGATTTAAAGTGCGTGTCGTTGTATCTTTGTAAAAAAAAAGGGAGATAATTGCCAAGTGCCAGTTTTATAAATACCTGTTGAGATTCAAACAGCTTGTCCTTGTATAATTGCAGTATGATTTATTTAGAATCTCTCATTTTTGTTTGGGGAAGGGTATGGAGTGAAATTCCTACATTTGCTCCGAAGCAAATGTTGGCCTTTCTAGTTAACAAGAGATTGTCTTTAAGTCCAATAGCCTATACACAAGTTGTTATACCCAAGTTGTTTTTTTGTTGTTTTTTGTTTTTGTTTCAGATGTTGACATTTTCGTCAATTAAAACAAAATCCACAATGACTTGTAGCAATCTAAAACAAAACAGTCGTAACTACATGGACCTGGGAAAGGGTACTGACTGACCTGGATTCGGGTGAACATTCATGTGAATAAAAAAGCTAATTATTAGATTACTTACCTCAATAAGAGATTGCCTATTCCCAAGTTTTTATTTGGTTTCAGATGTTGACATTTTTTTTAAATAAAACATAAACCACATTGACTTAATTTTATACAGCAATCTAAAAAAGCTAATTATTTGATCACGTCAGTGAAGGTTAGACTGTTAGACATTCAGGTAATAAGATATGCCAAAAAAACAGGTATTCATGCAACTTGATGATTTACCTCCATGCCGCACTCGTTGACAGGGTTGAGAAAGAGCAGTTTCCTGTCGCGGTACAGGTGGACGTACTGTCGGCGAAAGTTCTCGGCGTACGCCAGGATCAGTTTCTCCTTGTTGGTGTTCTCCTTGTAGGACACAGGGAACTCTGAGTACATGTCCTCCTGCTGGAGGTGCACCTCAGAACTGGGGGACAGAATGATAGTCATTGATTACTTTTGTCAAGAAGGTTATGTTTTAGGGAGATTCTGACTGAGTGTCTACATTTGTGTGTGTGTCTCTGTCTGCTTCCCAGGTCGTGCAAACCTCAATTGGTTGAGGGCTTCAGAGGTCTGTTGAGGTCTGTCCGTCTGCAAACATGATAAAATGAGAAGGCTTACAAAAAGTTACAGACTCTAGACTACCTTAGAATAGATGGTAAGTGGGTAGGTCTTGATAATACCTAAAAATAATTAGATTTTGAGCCACCTGGTGGCTTGTTATGGTACTGCAGCAGAACTTCCGGTCTTGATACATGTATTTCAAGATCTGGACGACATACTAGGGTCACAAAATTGTTAAGTAGATAGCTTTAATTTGTGCTGGGGAAGAATTAACGTGAGTTTGGGGCTCTTTAGCTGTGTATATTTAACATGATTACTAAACAGAGGTGTGAATTAATGTGTTGTTGTTTCTCTCAAGTCTAAACAAAGAGGAGATGTAAAAGAGGAAGAGAAGACCATGGCCTAGCGGAGCCAAATGTTAGCCAACAAAACCATTATCAAGCCACCAGCAATCTGTCATTGATTTAAATGGATGGTAACTGAACACACTGTCACTAAGTACACCTACATTTCCACTTCTGGCACTTGCACGTCGATTTTCTCCAGCTCCGCCCGCAGATCGTCCACTGACAACTCCCCCTCGGCCTCCTCCGCGTCCTCGGCCTTGTTGTTGGCCTGTTCGGGGTTATTTTCTGCGTTTTCGTCCATCTTCCCGAGCCTGACAAGTTTCGTATTCACCGCGAACTCCGGCTGTTGTAGGGGTAAACTGTGGCCCAACAACACCCCGCCAGGAAGTATGGTCATCCGACAGAACAGAAAATAAACCGTCCGTCGAGGACACTTTTCTTCAGGAATTAATCATCACAAAACCAACAGATTGTTTTTATGTATACAAAAATCATTTGTATGAAAAAATGTTTGGGATTTTCTCAAAAAGTCATCTCAGTGGAAAGTTAAGTGTCACGGCGGATGAATATATTACTCGGCCAAGTGCTGCACCTTAGCAACAGGGAAAGCACTCCCCGCGTTCCAGAACGCATGCGCCTTGTATTGAAGACGCGAAGGAAAATGGCGGACGATCAGCAGCCCATGCAGACAGGAGACGCGGGAAACGCCGCCACGGGCGAGCCGCAGGCCATGGAGACGCCGCACGAGAAGCTGGGGCTCACCGAGAACGTCCAGAGATGATCACAGCCGAGAAGGAGGCGGCGGAAAAGCCGATAAAGCAGAAAGTCGAACTGCAGTCCCTGCCGACGCGGGCGTACTTGGACCAAACAGTCGTTCCCATCCTACTCCAGGGACTCTCCACCCTGGCGAAGGAGCGCCCGCCAAACCCCATAGAGTACCTCGCAGCCTATCTACTCAAGAACAAGTCCAAGTTCGAGGAACAGTGAAGGCGCCCGTACAAGCCTGGAGCCGTACAGATGACCTCTGCAGTTCGTATTTTGACCCTCCCGGAGATACCGCCTCTACTACACCCAGGTGACAACCGGTTTCCAGGACAGTCTACAGTTGCATCACTTGGGATTTCAGCACAACACACGGCGTTTGGACAACTTCATACGAGACAACCAACTATGGGGCGACCAACATACACAGGAAAAAAGACTTTAACTTTTAAGGACCTTAAAGAGACCTTAGATGTTATATTTTAGTCCATATATGTACATAACAGAGCAGAGAGGTACCCACAGTGCCAGATATTTGCTGAAAGACCAACCTAGTACTACTAGTTAGTAGTGAACCTACCTACATCATCTGTAATAACTTTTTTCTCTCCTACTCAAGCAATACTCTTACACGTGGATATACATGTGGGGACCTAGAATGGTGAATTGGATTTGGGCAATTTGACACTGTGGAATAGCTGAAGCCCAACTACTAGTATATCTGGTACATTCAGATCACCAACTACATGTGCAAGAGGCCCCACAGTCAACAACAAACCATTGAAAGTTGGCAATTGCCACCATAAACTACCATAGTGCACCAAAGCTCCTACTTGAATCCTGAACCCTATTGTTAGGCAGGAATCCAACAGGTGTAAGTTATTGTCAGTTGGCAGGACAGGAGCAAGAAGCCTTGTACTTTACCAACCGCCTTGCACCTAGGTTTGTGTTATACCTGTACCTGAATTACCGACATGCCCACAGCCGTTTAGACCACCATACTGCATTCCTTTTACATGATACATGTACACATGTGTGATT